CAATTTATATTTGTAATGGTTCATTTTGATTTAATAAATAAACGACACCAACCTGATTGAGGGAAAAAAAAAAAATATATATATATATAATAATAGCAAGTTTAATATAAACTTGCCTATACTATTTATATCTAATTAATGTTAAAAAAAAATTTTAAAACAATATTATATGCTAAATATAGTTAAGGATAATAGTTATGTTTATTTATTTAAAAATTTTAATAAAACATAAAAATAAAATAAAAAATAAATAAAATTAAAAAAAATAAAATTAGAGCTATAATAATATAGGCTATTTATACTAAAACTAAATTAATTTAATTATAAAATTTATATAAATAAAAGGAATATCTTTAAGAGAACTTTTAATTTGAACTATATTCTATTTCTTCAGTTTCTTGCTACTTGTTAATATTACTTTTGTTAATATAAATAGTAGAATATAATTAATATTATTTATTGTTATAATAATTGTTATTATTATTGTATTAAAAAAACTAATTTGAACTGATTTAGTTTTTGTTTTAATTTTTAACAAATTTGATTAGTTAATTAGAAAATAATAATCATCTAAAGAAGATAAACTGATTTTAGTTTTTTGAACAAAAATTTTTGAAAATTTTGAAATAAAACAATAAATTTTGCTATAATAAAGTTATGTATAAAGGTTATATTAAAACAAATAATAGATTCAATAATTCTGTTTAAATTTATTTTTGAAAGTATTTGATATAACATATATAATAGTTTTTATATAAATAGTTTTTATAATATAATATATAAAAAAAGAGATACAAAAGAACAAAAGAAAAAAATAATGCCATAGATCTTTTTTTCATGCAACTGAAGAATAAACAAGATCTCCAAACTTAAATAGACTTTGATTAGAGATTTGATTGTGAGGAAAGTTTTGTGCTAGTATTCGTGAAACACTTCGTGATGCACGAACAGAAACAGCACCAGTGGCAAAAAGAATTGGAAAACATATAGCAGGAAAAGAACGAAAAATGATTGAGTACACTTATAGGTTATTCCATTGTATTGGTTGTTTTAAAGGTTTTTAAGTTTCTAAGTTAAGGCTTATTTGTAATAAAAAGTATAAACCATTTTTTTTTAACAAAAATTATTATAATTAGAAGTGTTTTTTTTTATTTTGAAATTAAATTTTTTAATAAATTTTAATTTGTAGATTTAATAAAATATAAAATTCTAAAATTTCATAAATTAAAATACAATAAACTTAAAATTAATTAATAATAAATAGGATATTATATCTTTTTAATAAAAAAATTTTTTTATATTTTAATTTACAATTAATCAAGATATTAAAATTTTTAAAAAAATTCCAAAAAGTTTTGTTATACACTGTGTATATTTTCTTAAATAACTTATTTATATTATATATAAAATCATTAATATAATATTAGTAATTAATAAAAGTTTAATAAAAATCTTACATTGAATATTTTATCAAAAAAAAAATCTTAATTAAAATAAAGTTGTTTATTTATTAAATTAATTTAAACTATTACAATAAAAATTGCATATATAAATCTTCTTGATCCAGTTCATTTGCCTATAGGATTTTTGAGATTTTTAACATAATTTTTATTAATATACAGAATAAAAAAATATATAGAATAATGTAAATATACTGCTCAAGATAGATATTATCTAGTCACTTTATGATTGCTTTCATCGAATGCTAAATTTGAATCAGAAAATAATAAGTATATACAGTATATATGCTATAATCAGCGTAAGACAATGGGGAAGTTTTACCGATAACCCTAAACAATACTTACAATTGCTAAATCAGAATAAATGTGAGCCTACATACGATCCGAAAACAAGATTCATCAGAGTTATGAATAAATACACGGGTAATATAACTGATATTCGATTGTGCAAAAATTGCGAGTGCAAATCACATCACGTTACAATGAGCCTTGAGGGAGCGATATCATGTGCTTAAGAGATTGGTTATAATATACCACGAAAGAATATCCTTTTTCGATCAGAGATATAAAAATGGAAAGCTATGGGCTCTTTATTTCATAAAAAGATTGCCAGATGGCATACGATAAAAAAAATTTTTTTCGGAGCGGAGATTTTCACATCTGATCTAACATCTCTTAAGCCTGACCGGGATTCATATCAGGGTGTTCATCATTTTCTATACGTCTTTCTATAGATTCTTTCGAGAATGGTGTCCAGAAATCATCTCTGTCAGTATAATATTCATCATCTCGTAAGGTGTTATAGGTCGGATTATCTGATTAAGTACATAAGCGTCCATTTATATGCTTTGAGTATATATAGCTGTTTAAGTAAATTTACTTGCCACGTCTGTTTCTAGTATTCCGTTGACGATTGAGATTAGGTGTCCTTGACTAGATCTTGAATTAGATGGCGTATGGACGACGGTTCTGGAGGCATTGAAGGAAATATCACTAGTTTGAGAGGTGTTATTATCGTTGCTCCGGGGGGTGGTGCTATCGTTATTACTGCTCATTTCCACGTCCCTAAATACAGAATAATGGTAAGTGTAAATAATCATAATTAATAGCAGTACAGGCCCTTTAGGGGCAACCCTTATGGAGTTATGGATAATGGTACATTGCTTGAAATTAGTGGTAATAATCGTTATTGAATCCCAAGAGAGATAAAAAAAACGAAGTATTTTATACCATTCCGTTTCATTGGATCTATTCCAAAAAGTATTTTTCGTTATTTTTTCGGTGTTTGTATATCCCTTAACCATGCTACAAAATTTTGGATCCAGACACCTATTTTGCAGTTTTATTTTAAAATTAACGCACTATTCGAATCATATATTTCTAGCAGGTTCAACCTCCTTGGGATAAATGTTAAAAGATACGTTTTTTCTACCATATCGGCTCCTACAAAACCATCATAAACAAAGCATTACGATATATTTAGCCATCAAATAAAAATACTCACCACAATTAGCCACAAAGTGACGGCCTCCGGCAATTGTCTAATCAAATTTCTTTGTCCCATTTGTGTGTAGGATTCATCACCATAGGTTCTTCCTGTGGGTCGTAAAGCAAAAAAATGCCGATAAGAACCGAAATTAATAACAAAATTGAGTTCCCATGATGCTAACTATGAAACGATGGCACAGAATATCATTAACATGATAAATGAGTTATAGAAATCTACCATAATAATTTTAGTCAAATTGCAACTGATTTCGAATCGGTCAGCAGGATGTTCACAACGCTCCAAAGCGAAATCAGATTGTTAATAGATAAAATAGGTGTTTGTATCAATAGCAAAACAAATGTAGTTTCTAATAATCCAGAGTAGCGGGGAGGAACTCTCATTTTATCTGTTAGGGCTCGAGATGCTTCCTCCTTTTAAACGTCCGCTACTCCATTCATTTATTATATTAGTTTATCATAACAGATTTTCACCCACGTCGGGCTTCTGATTTAACATGTATAAAAAAACAAAATATTTGATTTACTTCGTATTTCTAACCTATAATTTTGCTTCTTATTTATTAAAACTTAACATAAAGATGGATCCCTATCTAAAAATTCCGATATATCATACCCAAGCAAATTTTCTTCTTCACCTAGCAATTGAACACGATCGTTACTTCCATCAGGATACATCAACTGAACAGATTCAAAGTTTTCAGCACAAAGAACATAAATAACGTCTTTTCCCTTTTGTTCTGGAGGTATCTTCTTACTATTTCGAATATCAATAATTGCCCATTCCTTTGCATATTTAAGAATAGAGGTGTATTGACTATCTTTTTGAAATCTTTGTTGATGTTCTTGCAATTTGTCACCATCTCGCAATAGTTCAATGGCCCAGTTACGCTGATCATTTAAGTAAAAATCTAAGTAGCCCTCTGATCCAAATACTGCTCCAACATCTACAGAAGCATAAATGTTCACAGGAAGAACTTGCATTGATGCATGGTAGAACTCCATTTGCCACACGCGTTCAAGAAGACGACAATCATTACCTACACTCAAGCTTTTTTGTAACACCTTAGAGTTCATTTTTGTGAACACCGAAATGATGAAATCTTTAAATGAATTAGGTGGTGATTTAGACCGTGTCACTGAACCAAACCGATTTTGAAGATATTTTGCTCGAAGCAATGGTGCTGGGAAGTTAATAGTTGAATGACCATCTTTCGTCCCAGTATCAACAAGAATATTTGTCTTAATAATTCGACTCTTAAACAGAATTTCATTGGTTAGAATTTCAAGACCATCTTTCATGAAGAGTGCAGTATCAGCAATTCTCTTTTCTTCATCTGACATATCAGTAATTTTTGGCATTGCACGAATATCCTAGAAAAGTGCACCATATAAAAATTGTCAG